TTAGTCTAAACCACAAGTTAACCAAATAATGACTAACCGGACATTACATAATATTATAGTTCTATTGTTGAGTGCGAAATTATAACACCGTGATGTTATGTTACTTTTAATTGGTGTCGACTGAGTCGTATCTCGAGGGACGAATCTCCTTGGGCTACATTCAGAGAGTTCAAATTCCCACTCGATTACTACTCATGTATCATTTTATCCTTGCTGTTCGTCGGACATTAAATAAGAATAAAATGACACCCGACTGACACTCGAGTGGGAATCTGAACGCGCCTTTGCGAGTCGTAAAACGATCGCGGTCTCCAACGTCGTGCGTGCGTGTTCGTTGTCGGCTTGTTCTATCATTGTTGGACCCTGATATTTTCATAAATAGCCGAACCGTGAAGCGAGTAGGAAAGAAAACGTCTGCCAACGTCAACAGTAATGAGCCTAAAGTCAGTCATAACCAGCGCGTCGCGCGACGCATGAGGGAACGTCGCAACCTTGACTGGCGCTTTGGGTAGGCTATGATTCTCACTCGTGATACCTGGTAGGCATCGCGATCTAGGACATCCTACTTAGACGCGCGTGCGTCAGGTGCTTCGAAACTTTACGATGCATTCTGCGACGTGTCACGCTACTTATTTGTTATGCCGCGTCAACCGCCAATCGTCGGCGTAATCGGCTTGAGAACAAAGGAACGTCACTTTCATTCGCGTTTGCCGTGTTTTCTCTTCGTCACTGATTGCCGTAGAACGCTGTAATCAGCACGTAAACGGCACGGTACATCTGTACTCGATTTAGAATTTCTTCAACATATGTATTTCTTTATACTTTCTCTGACACATGCTTACTATTTTAAATAAAATGACGATGATGATCACGGGAACCATGATCACGTGATTGGCTTTAAATGTGTTCGATTTAAATCGCTCACCATTGGCGGCTGCGAGTCCGACGATGCATATCCAGCACAGGGCCAGTCTCCAGAAACGGTCGGCCATGTCCACTCTCCGAGTAATTACGAAACGCCCGCGAATCATGTAGTCGCGATTTACGTGAGGGACAGGTAAACAAAGGAATAAAGAAAGGAGGAACGGATGCGGAAGAGGAAAGGATGGGAAAGAAGAGGACCGAATATCTTCGTATTATCCGCGAAGGGCTCTCATTTAGATGGACGCGGCTAGGCCCGGACGTAAGGGACCGATTCTCCTCTCACTATCCGCAAAAGCGGAATCTTGCACCGCGAATATTCTTGTTGATAATGGAAAAGCCGCGGACTCGCCGGAATGAGTCTTGACAAAGACGCGCGAGCGATGTTCCCCGTGCGAACACGCGAGAGACACTGATGGAATAAGAGAGTGGCGGGAGAGTTTGAACCACCAGCAGACCCAGACTGCAGCATCGACCAGTGGCGTAGAAGTGGATCAACATTACGATGAAAGACAAGTTTATACCTTATTATATACTTCTAGTCCTAATCGAATGTCAAAACTAACCAATGCAAATTAAGCGAGACTAATTCTTTCATTCGACTACCAGTAAATTCTTCTTACGTAAGCAAGACCGAGACTTTGAATAAATACCAGTGAATATAATATGTGAAGATTGTAATAATGTTTCTTTTATGACTGTTTTTTTTTTAAATTTTATTATACATAGAAGATGTAGAGGTTACATCATTTGTTTAATTTCTTCACAAATCAAAATGTCTCATTTATCTGTAAATCGATCTTTCTGTAGTAATTATGTCCATTTCTGCCAATGCGGATTAACTACAATCTTGATTCAACTTATTTTTTGTTTCTCTCTAATTTGAACAGTTAGAAAAAGATAAAGAGAATAAATTGAGTCGGGATTGAAGTTAATCTATATTAGTATAAAAATAAATGGACGTTAGAGCCGGATTTGGACTCGTACCTGTTTCTACCAATGCAGATTAACTTTAATCTCAGTCTCGGTTCAACTTACTCAGCATTTTTTTTTCTAATTCTTAGAACTATAAAAAGATGAAGAGTTAATTAAATCAAAATTAAAATGAAATTACCTTGGTAGAAACGAGCATCGGGTATCACTCGTAGCGGCCATGACGGGGCCCCCTGTACGCCACTGTCATCGAGAAACAAAAGACACACGGATGAGAAAGTGGCAGCCGCAGCAAACCGATCGCAATGGTACGATCGCACGTATGTGTTCGCGCTTGCATGTGTACGTGGCGCGCTTATCTGGTAACCGGAATGAGCTTGCGGGCCGGAATAACCGCGGGAAGGTATAACAAGTTCCACGCGTTAATTGATTTATAGGCTGAAGAAGATTCATCGAGGTATTCAGATAGAGGCGTGTTCCATCACCCTGCAATCGATTTCGCCGATATAGCGATACGCGAAGATCTTGCGTCAGGATTTGGGCCTTACAAACGCGGTCTCGATACCTCGACGAATCGTGATTCGATATCGCGCAGAAGAACCTTTTACAGAGCGAGTTATCTTTATTTCTTTTTCTCTTCTTTTTGTCTTTTGCCGAAGCAGCGGACGGGCAGCGTTTTAATGTAGGCGTATGGGGCCAACGGCACCTCTCGCTCTGGGCCTTACATGGATACATCGTGAGTCACTGCCCAAAGCGGCGTATGTAAATGTGTTCTGCCTACTTTATTCATACGCTCAAGCTTCATGTGACCATCGCTGCAGATAAAAAAACGACGTTAACGCAGCCTAACGATAATATTTATTGAATACTATTATTAATAGATATTCATTGGCAAGTTAGAAAATAAACGATTGCAAGTTGACATGGGGTCACGGAAGAGGCGTGTGAACTCTTTCGATTAATGTAATTGATGTAAAATTTAAATGTGTTTGTTTTCTCTGAGTCAGCAATTTTTACGACGAGAGCCAATGATGTCGATGTGTTGTCGCGGCAATTTGTCGACGAGGGAAGAGACAAATGTAAATTTACTCGTGCCTAAGAACCTCGAGGTCTGCTGGGCCCCAACAAAACCGAGACAAGCGGATGTCTGTCCTACGGGGCCCACGAGTATCATCTTCGTGGTTCTTCGTGAGAACTCGTACCCACTCGTGTGCGATACCTCTTAGCCATTATTGGGCTTCTGGTGAAAGTGTCTGGCTAGATATTTCGTAACCAGATATCAATATCAAAATGAAATCTTGCATCTTGCAGATATTGCGGATTCAAGTATTGCGAAATACAGAAATTTTCTGACACAACATTTAACGCATAAATTCCAGTAATCTAGGGCGAATGAGAATATGCGGCGTGATAATTAGTACGCAAATTAATAATTCGTGGATTTATGTAAATAAATCCTTTATTTTATATTAAAAATTAGAACGTTTCGACTCGCTTTGGAGTTTTCCTTAGTTAATATAAATACACATTATAGTTTAACGTTTCTCTCTTTTTTTATTCGCATTTTTATCTCTACTGTGTTTCATATTTTGCAAAAATTTATCACATAAAAAATAAAAACAGTATGAAAAAAAAATTATATGCCACAACGTTATAAGGATGTAAAAATAAAATAAATCAGACGGCTTATCAAAAGACATGTTCTTAACTGTCATAAAATTGCATTTTAAAATTGTAACTTTAATAAAACGACGAACATTGGTTTTTACTGAGGAATACTTTGTTAATTAAGCGTTAAACCGACGTTAATCCCGATTGAGAGGGTAGTCCGCTGAGCAGGCCGTCGAGCAGAACGGCAAGAGGCGTGTGTGCATTGTTTTTTCCGGTATGCCAACCGAAGCTATATTAATCAAATACGCTGTCCATCGTATAATTTAAATTCCCGTTAATCCACCGAACTCGCGTGCGCTCAGTATTGTCTCTTTCTCTCGTGATCACGCGGAGTAACCGATAATTGCTAACGCGCGATTGCGTTAACGAAGTGCGAACACGAGTAATAAAGGAAAAATCAACATTATCGTTGTCGTCGTCGCGAGCGAACGTAATCGTCAATTACTATTTCCAATAACGCTAATAAATTTCGCGGTGGCCCTTTTGCGGAAACAACGGCTTCCACTGATTCACGTTCTCGTTAGAGATCCTCCTTCTTCCTTTCCTTTTTCATATAACGAAATACACTGTACTTTATCGTGGATACTAATTACGGTCTCCTCACGAGATAATGAAATAATCTTACTACGCAAAGCTCGGGAGACCGCTGACTTCCTTGAGAATTTTTTCAACAAGTCGCGCGAGTGCTTTATTAGTCGCGGAACAGGACGACTATGTGACGGCAAATTAATATCGTGGGATTAGCTGGTCTTGATTAAAAGGATTCGCTCGCTTATCGTCGACTAATCGTCCCTCTCGTTCACTTAACAATTGCAAATTATCCCAAGGATCTGGTCACAGCCGTTAGATGTGTCTCTTCTCCATGCCGAATCTTGAGATCTGTTCTTTTTTCAAAGAGTATTTTGAACTGCTCTACACATTATTTGGTACAATTAGTTGGAGTAAAATAAATTATATTTGTTTCACTCCAACTTATTGCACCAGTTCATGTTCTTTGAGAAAGAACAGACTCTTGGTTGATCCCATTTGTGTTAAATAATACGTAACAGCAGTATGTGACTTGTACAAGGTATATATTTTACAAAAATAAATACACGACGTTCAACGTCCCTACTTCCGAGCAAAATACAATATTGTGTTCTATGTACAATGCACGCAGTACATCACCCAGAAAACTAGTTGACGTTACTAGTCGTCATTTTATCATTTCAAATTGTCATTTTGACATTATAAAATAACGATAAATAACATCAGCTTGAGTTTATTGGGTATCTTCCCGAGAAATATACATATTAATTTATTGTACAATCACATCGCTTATCGCGTTTCAACGCGACATAGACAAAAATCTTAAATAGCAGAACGGTCGGAAATTTAACCAGTGATACCGGAAGGTAACTTCCGTGTGTTTATCTTACTATCTCCACGAAACGTAAGATATTTTTCTAAGTACTATGAATACTAGTTTCGTCAAGTTAACGAAATCTCATAAGAGTGCAAAACACAGCAGCGACTATCACGAAGTACAGACTCGCCTTGAGATTATTGGTCGCGCTGGAGTGCTGATTCAAAATCCGACACTGCGAATTTCTATAGTGCTTGACGTTCCCCTCGGAGTCGCGCGCGAGCACGCAGAGCTCGTATTTGGTGCTCGACCTCTTCAGATCGTTGATTTTGAAGGATCTCTCACTGTAAACGACATCCTTTTCGAGCATGGATTTGCTGCTGCCAGATTCGCGAACCACCACGTAGAAGTCGCCGATATCTTCGCGCGACGTCACGTACCATGTCGCTTTCCAACTCTTATCATCCGTATCGCTAAAAAAAATTTTTAACTTGTTATCTTTGAAGTCTTCAAGAAAATCTTTTAAATGATATATTTACGATAACAGAAATTAACAATGAAATAGATATATTACATACTAATCAATGCTTCGATATTTCACATCAGGTGTGATATCGAGTTCGGGTTCCTCTTGAATGTCCCTTTCGCCGCAATTCATAAGATCTTCCGTCACTTCTGAGATAAATTTATTCGCGAGATAATTTGGACTTTTACACATCACGTTCAACCATTCCGTTGGAAATTGCGTTTGAGATTTTAACCATCTCTTCAATGGCCGTACATGACAATCACAGTATATGGGATTATCTAATATAAAACATAAATATATATATTTTAAACATCAATAACAAAAAACTTGATTGTAAATACAAATTTCAAAGTCGTTTAATCACACAATTATAAATTTCATTATTTGTCGTTATATCTAATTATTTAATAATTATTTAATCTATTTTTTTACCGGAGTATTTAAACACCGTGCCGTTCTGGATAATTTTCATGAATCTTTCATCAAAAACGCCGATCTCATTTTCTTCTAGATCGATAACTTTTAGATTCGGCAGAGGTAGAATTTTGTCGAGAGGCACATGGCTTAGATGGTTGTTACTTAAATGCAAGTTGGTTAAATTTAACGGCGGAAGAAAGACATCTTGATCGGAGATGTCACTTATATCATTGTACGATAAATCCAATGTCTGCAAAGCCGTTAAATTCCCGATTACATCTGGAATAGGACAATGCTCTAATAAACAATGATCTCACAAGGGGAGGGCACATCCAGCATATCGCCAATTGAGATGAAAAAAATTCAGGTGATTCTTTGAACAAAAAAAACGAATGCGTGTTTTGGGATTTTTCGAGATAGGGCCCTGATCGGTAAAAAAAAAAAATTTAATGTAAGTAAAAATACGACATTCATAATTAATTTAATTACAAAAATTATTTCTTATTTTTCATTATGTACATTAGATTTTGACCGTTATATTATATAATATAATATAATATTATTTTATAGAGAATTTCTACCAGGGTAACAGTAAATTAATTTAAATTTAAATTTATCGAGGTTAATTTAATGTTATCAACATACACATGAAATTACAATATGAAATGGTTAAAGTAACCAATATTAAAAATAAATGGAACATTATTAATAGTTGAAGAAATTATTGATTGAAGTAGACAATCTAGATTTTTAAAGATAGAATTGGTACATAATGAAAAATAAGAAATAATTTTTGTAATTAAATTAATTATGAATGTCGTATTTTTACTTACATTAAATTTTTTTTTTTTACCGATCAGGGCCCTATCTCGAAAAATCCCAAAACACGCATTCGTTTTTTTTGTTCAAAGAATCACCTGAATTTTTTTCATCTCAATTGGCGATATGCTGGATGTGCCCTCCCCTTGTCAGTAGAAAACATAAACCGATAGGCTATTATGCAGCAATAAATCCAATTTACTACTCACACCTCCTGATCTCATTAATATTGTTATGAGAAAGATTCAAGTGCTGAATTTTTTTAGCACCGGCGATGAGATCGAAGGTAATAACCGGCATTGTATTGTAGGATAAGTCGACTTCCTTTAGCCTGTAAGGTATCCATGGATCGTTCGGAAGAGTCTTCCGGGTAATAAATGATATCTTGTTATGGCTAAGGTTGAGTCTTTCCAGAGACAGACAATCGTCGAGCAGTCCATGCGTCTTGTTGTCCAGCTTCTCCAATTTATTATACGATAGGTCGAGTGTTCGTAGAGATACTAGACCCTGAAACGCGCCGTTTGGTATGTAGCTAATGTTGTTGTTCGTCAAGTTTAATGTTAGCAGCTGCAACAGGCCCTCAAATGCCCGGCTCGTTATGTTATTTATTTTATTATTCGCCAAGTTCAGCTCGAATACTATCGGCAGACGGCCGAAGGCAGCTTTTTCCAGTTTCGTCAAGTAATTATCCTGAAATATATCCGTCAGTAAAAATTTAGAAAATTACTGATCCTCGAAGAAGAACGAATTCCCCATAACATTTTCTCTTGTCTTACCTGTAGATAAAGATACTGCAAACTGCTCAGACTGCCGAGTGCTTGCCAAGGCGGCTTTGTAATGTTATTCGCTTGCAGGTTTAAGATTCTCAAGGTCAGCAGGTTTTCGAAGCTGCCCTCTTGCAGGTTATCGCCCAGCCGATTCCGCGAAAGGTCCAGCGAGAGTAATGCATTCATCGTAGGCCACACGTCGGTGCTCGGAATCTCTTCCAATAGATTCTCCGAGAAGTCCAAATGACCCAGAGAAATTGGCAATTGAAAAATCTTTGTCAAACGATTATTCTTTACCGTTAAACTCCTAAAATACAATAGATTCGTCATTGCAAGCATAAGATTTTTCAATTTCATTAATCGCAACGATAACTCACCTGCAACTGGCTAATCGAGTGAGACTACCTCGTGCAACGTCGTTTAATTGATTGTAACTCATATCGAGGTCTAAAAGTGTCGGCAGCGGTCCGAACGTCGATGGTTTTATTTTCTCTAGAGAATTATGTGACATGTTCAATAATCGCAAGCTGAAGAGCGTCTGAAATACGGCATTATGAATCTCGGATAGATTGTTGTGCGAAATGTCGATCGTATGAAGCTCGTATAGCTTTGGAAAAGTCTGTCTTGGAACGGAATGTATCAGATTGTGGGAGACGTTTAAGATTTTCAATCCCGTCATGTTGTGCATTGGAATCTACAAAAAAATATTTTTAATGATTTTAATACAGACTTAATTAAAATAAATATCTTAATAATGTGAACTATTTTATTATTTGCATGAAAAAATTTTACTCACTTGATTTAGAGATGTAAATTGATTATAACTAAGTTGTAATTCCATAGCATACGATGCACTGTCGAAAGAATACTTTGAGATATTCTCGAGCTTGTTGTGGCTGAGATCCAATAATGTGATATTCGCACAATTCTCAAATGCGCCTGACTCAATCTTCGAAATTTCATTGTGAGACAGATTCACTCTCGCCAGATAGATATCTTTGAACGCCAATTTCTCCACAATCGTCACGAAATTCTCGGAAACATCTAAAAACTATTACAACAAATTTGTTATTAATCCTTTTGAGTGTTGCGCATATTTGTTTTAATAAAATTTTAATAAAATTAAATTTGTGATAAATTTGATAAAAATTCAGGATCTCTCTCTCTCTCTCTCTCTCTCTCTAGAGATTAATGTAAGAATGAAATATAAAATGAAATATATAGCATTGAACACAGAAATATAGTACCAATACCCACTAGAAAGAATATACATCGATAGACTGTATAAACAGATTCTCTCTCACTCTCTCTCTTTCTTTACTAACAAGATTTTTTTAATAAGATCAATAAAAAATTTTATTTTAATGACAAGACAATGTCTTGTTATAGAAGGTTATAGAAAATGATGTGAGAATTGTATAAATATATAATAATTGTTTCAGATGTACATATACCTCAGCAAATTGTAATTGATTAAACATTTGGAAGTCAATTTTCTTAATGAAATTCCGAGAAAGATCGATGGTGCCGATTCTAGTAACGGAACCGAAAGTTCCCCGACCCACGTCGTCGATTTGATTATCACTCAAGTGTAACCGTCTAAGAAAACGCATGCCACGAAAAGTATTTGAATCAAGTTTTCTGATTTTGTTATTGCTCAAATTCAGGACCTTTAAGACGGAATTCCGGGCGAAGGTTCCTCTAAAACGAAAGAAACAATCTTAGATACAGTGCGGAAAAATTTGATCACAATTATCGCTTTCTTCAAGTCTACCAACCTTTTCAAATCGGCGATAGCATTATGCGATATGTTGCACCATCCCATCTTGACGAGATCGGCCAAATTAGACGCATCTAATTTGTCGATTAAATTATGAGAGATGTCCAAAAACTCGGTGTCTCTTAGACCTTTGAATTGATTCCTCTTCAAGTCTTTTATCTTGTTGCCGTGAAGATCAAGAGTTTTAAGTTTCTTGAGTGGCGTTAATGCTTCAACGGGCAAGGAAGAAAGTGTACCTGAAAAATGTAAAAGTCGGTCAAGAATTATAATTTAATACTAAATATAGATATTAGATAAAAAATGATATATGATGAAAATTTTATTGTTTTGTATGTAATATCAAAAATTGAGCTCATAAAATTGTATCATTTTCAAGATCTGTATAATGAAACAGTGTGTATTTCGTACTGATGATATCTCGCGATGAGATTATGATTACCGTTACTAATCTCCAATTTTTCTAACTTCGCAGCCGCCGCGCTTTCACCAAAACTATTTCCCGGTAAGGTAGATATCCGGTGCCCCGTGATGCTCAACAGGCTGAGATTGCCGAGGATCTGCAATGCTTCACGAGGAAATTTTTCCAGGTTGCTATTTATTACGTAGATCTCCTGAAGAGTTCGGTTCACGCCAAGAAAACTGTGCTCCTCGATCAATCTCAGTGGCGTATCGATGAATTTGAGCACTCGCACATCCAATGGATACAAAGCCGGCCCGTAAAATCGTACTGTCGATTCGTAAAAATGGAATAGTTCATTCAACCGACCTTATTTCGTCATCTTTCGCAAGAATGTTATACGTAAATCTCTTTTTTTTACGACGTCATATTAAATCGACTCACCTATGTTACATTTATATAAAACCAGTTCCTCGATCGGCATGCCCTCGTTTCCCAGATTCGTGAAGGCAATACTGAGACTGGCCAGATTCGTATTCTCACAGCGAATGTACAAACCTCTGTCACTACCCCGAAGACAAGTGCAGGGGTAAATGTAAATCGCGTCTTTGGGGCATCCGAACCTCGGCCCGGGCGGCACGTAGCCGCCCATTATGGATATAACCATACCCAACAGTAATAGTAGAAATAACATTTTAATACCTGCTTTGAGAAGCACACAAACAAAAAGAAATATATTTAACATTTTAATTATATAACATGTTACGTGCTTACACCTTGTAATTACATAATAACTGACATGAGTTCAACGTATAACAGTAAAATACATTAAAAAAATACTATTATATCTGAAGACACGGTAGTGTCTCGGCGCTAAGCCAGGCGCATTAAGAATTATACCACGTAGTACTATATAGCTTCTTCAAGAAATAGACATAATAAGTTATATTGAACAAAAATCTATATTATATTTACATCGTAAAGGCGCTGATAATAATTTAATTTACATATAAGGTGCAAACTCGTGATACCTTTACAAAATAAACATTTCAATTAGTCACTCGGTGATGTAACGCATGTCTCGTCGGAAAATGTGGGAAAGTTTTCGCTACGTGAACCCCTTAATAGTGTACGCAATAGATCGATACGCCGATAACCATGCAGCTTATGCACCTAATAAAATCGTAGTTGCTTCAAAATCGCAATTGTTCTGCGCAATCTTTCGCGAATGAATTGTTAAACAGCCCTTCGAAGTTCCTGTTGCCTGTGTTTAAGCAAAAGCGATTACATCAGTCGTTCAATTCGCGATCCGATCTCACCACTTATTATCCCACGCGAGTTGCTGAGTTATCCCGCGATTTCTTGATACCAAGGCGCAGAGGTGACTAACCGCCAGGATTATCGCGATAGCCTAAAAACGTCCTTGAAGACGAGACTGCTTTATTCAGGCAGTCAACACGATGACACGATCCACGCATAATGAGACCTACGCACTGACCACTGCGTGACGAAGAACGCCGCAAAAGATCAAGATCTCATAGACGATGCTCTCATGGATCATGTTTTGCTTATTCATTATTCAATTATAATTAATTCAACGATCGTGTACAGACGATAGCGTCTCCCACGCGATTCTAGAAAAGGGACACGCAACTACGGCAATCGCACTTTCTGTCACGTAACAAATTATAAGCTATCGCAGAGACGTTTAACTCATACGTCAATCACAATTTGCCTTGTGTTGCGCATCTTGCAAAAGAAAATTACGAAAGCGGCGACTTGTCCATCCGGAAATGTTAACGCAATTAGACCAATGCGTTTTCACTGTGTACTATCGCGAAAACGATGAACCACCTGCGTAACCATGCATGAAATTTCGATAGAAAATTAATGGTTGCGTGCAATGGCGCTGCGCTGCGATTATTGCAAATTGATTGTCCTTCTTTCGAAACTTGGACGATTAGCAAATATATAATCTTTGTATAATATAACCGACCTCCTTTCAAAGATCATCGTCTGCTCTTTGTGCAAAGTGGGTGGATTTGAAAAGATCAATAGGCCATGAAAAAAAAATACAATTGTCACCATTAATAATCAATTATATTTTAATGCAACTGTTCATCATTATTTCCTACGTTTTCCTGTTTAAATCTAAACGTATTCTTTTTATTGTATAAAAAGCATTTGCAATGTATTATATTATTAATTAACAATTGTGTGGTAACAATGAAAGTTGAAAATTGTCAATTTATACTTTCAATATATCTACGACGTCTAGCAATGGAAACCGTCTCCGCGTCACAGCGAGGCTCTCGCAATTAACGGTAGCTTATAATTAAAATAATTGTGGGATCCACCGATCTGAGAAATGGAAAACTATGCCTTATTAAAACCCTAGTAATTCAAACAGGCAAGAAGAAAGGCACGGTGATCTAGTTTAAGCATCAGTTTATAACGCTCGCTATATACGAGTATAATATACAAGTGCGATATGTAAGAAAAACTACAGCGTTTGCATTATGAATGAGGGAAATTCATTATTTTTATCTTAGGCAAGATGTATGCCAAGTAAAAGTATATTTATAGATTTATACATATCCGCTTATCTTAATTAGAATTTTAATAGATTTAACCAGAAAATTTAAATTGGTTCATTTTTAACCAGAATTTCAATTAATCCAACTAGGCATTTTTCTTAGGAAGGTAAGAACATTAAGTTGTCATCAAGAAAATCTGCGAATCTAAAATCGATGAGACGATAGCATTCAAATAAATAAAACGATATGTTAGGAAAAACTCATGCACCTTTCACTTATTTCAATTGATCTTTCTACCTCGTAAACCAAGGAAATAACCACTGGACCGAATCACGCTGGTTTCTCGTGACACTAAACTCGTATCAGATCTAAGAAAAATGAACGAACCTGGTACCATTGACGTAATGCATCGGCTATACTCGATTATTTATTATTAAATTATCTCGAGTATCTAGATCAAAACTCGAATGGTTACTTGTTACTTTTTGCTTATATTTATACCGACTCGAAAATATTTAGAAACTCAAGGAGCTATCAATAAAGAATAGATAAGCTTTCCCGAACGTGAGACTTCCGCTTCTCGAAAGCGGAAAGAACGATAGTGGAGAGAAAAAGAACCACGCTCTACTTTCTGAAAGTCTATCAATTAGAGCTATTGTGTTAACGTAGCAAAGTCAGACGGCTTTACGTAAAGAAAATGCATCACTATACCAACTCGTAATACTCGCAGTTAAATACTAAAATTAAATCTCATTATAAAAGAAACTGCTCTTGTTGATATAAGATACATTTTTCCGTGCATTTCTTTAACACAGTAGATGAGAATATTTTCGTTTCATTAGTTATTCTTGCGCATCATGCAATACCCTATATCTGCATTCCATGCATTTGTTTACACACTATATGATTTTTATTTGTAACATTACACTTTACCCTTCAAAAATAAATTATATATGCATAGTAATTATTAAAAAATTTTTTTTTATAAATAAGTTAAAGAATATATATAATTTTAATTTTATAAATGTATATATATGTATTATTTAATTATTATATAAACTTAATTATTATATAAAATTTTGTAATCATGGAAAACATTATTTCGGAAATTATTACAAAGTATATCAAGTTAGAATAATTATGAACAGCAATATTATCGTAATTAATAAAATAGAAATAACTGTCTAAAGCTTCGTGTGAGTTAGTTAAATATTAAAGATAATTAGTTCAAGTAGAAGCGTAACGTTTTGTGCACGCATTGAAGTCACCGTTCGCTGAGCAGAGAGATGACGCGCCTAAACACACGTGGATACCTAACTGCGAACATTACGAAACTTAGCACCTTCATATTTAAAAATATAACAAACCTAATACTTAGTTAGAGATACCGTATTAAAGATTAAGATTGAATTTAATCAATCGAAGCAAAGTTTACTAAACTTGATATTAATTTTCTGTTTTTCTAATTAATTAATTTCAATCTCAATCTATATGGCTTGATATCTGGCATGTTTGATAAACTGTTCCGTATTAATATACGTCATATTTGCAATTATTGTAAGACTAAATCGATAAATCGCGAGATTTATAAAAAATAAGATTTTTAAGGATTTTTTAATTTTAAGATAGTAGACTATAATTTTATCGTTTATCACAAAAATAATCGCGGTATACCTTGTTATACTTTGCTCGATGATTTTTAAAAGCGCGAAGGTTGTTGTGACTTTTTTCAAGGATGCACTGTTGGTATCCTCAGGATTACATGTTTGCCACCGAACGGGTTGTCCTTTTTTTTTCACCATACAGGAGCAGAAAGAGTGAGAAAGAAGAACAGAAAGGAATACACGTTTTGAATTCACCTTCGCGTGTCTTCAAGACATTCTGCATGTGGTTCCTGACTGAAGCTGCTGTGAAAACTGAGTCGAGGCACGGAGGCAAAGAGAAAGGCAGCTTCAGAAGTAAGGCCTCCCTCATTGGCAGTTGATACGCTGTCCTTTCGTAGACATCCCACCTTTGCCGTTGCGAGAGAAAGAAGGAGAGTCTCGCCGCAATCACATTTTGATAAAATGCTACATATTTTTGAAGGTCGCGATTGATAAACTGTTATTAGTAACCTTTCTCTCTCTCTTTCTCTCTCTAAAAAAATTTTCCATTAAATTAATAATAAAAAATATTATAATAATAATGTATGTAAAAGTGTCTGTCGTTTCAATGAATGTGATTAAAAAAAATTTCAAAACTTGATCAATTTTAAGAATTTTTTATTAAGAACGTCAATAATTATAAAAGTGTTATTAATTAGAAGTTGTCAAGTTCTAAATACTTTTTATATTTTGTTGGTTTGCATTTTTAGTTTTTTCAAATTATAAATTATAAATTGTAAACATTGACAAATGGATAAATAAATATTATTTCATAATTTTAACATGCATAACATTATATTCAATTTAGCATGTAATGATACGATCCTTGCAAAGCCTCGTGTAAAAGAAAGTCAGCCGTCGCGAGTACACTTTAGGATTGGTTGATGTTAGTGAAAGTTTCTTCATGTAGTTACCTTGGTACTCAACCGAGTCACGCAATTCATAGTATGAAGCCGACATCTGTTGGTGCACAGATTAATTTAAACAAACATCTCGAATTAAAACATTTATGTAAGTTATCTTGTTATTTACTTCATAATAGAAATTTTTAATTTTAACAAAAACTTTTTTATAATAAATTTATATTTATCATGTTTTTCTCTTTTATAAATTTGTTAAAATATTTTTAATTTCTTTATAGAAGAGATTAATCAGATTTTTTTGTTCTTAGAATTCTTTAGATTCTCCGAAAACATCATTTAGCAAAGCAGGATGCGATAGTTAAGCGTCGTTTAAACAATAATAAGAGAGAATGACGGGCTTTTCAGAAATTACATGGTTATTAAGGTCATTGCGCTCTTCGTGTTCTGTAGTTTCAGACAAAGAGCCAGTAGTCGCGCAGTCGGTTGCGTTATCCATCGAGTAATTGAGGTGACAGTGTTTGTTAGTATCAGCTGTAATTTCAGCACCAATAATTAAAAAATTTTCGTTTTAAATATTACAACTAACATGAATTATTTTATAATATACATGTTCAACTTTTTATTATTGTTGAGTAAGTTTCAAAATTAGATTTATTATCTTTCAATTACTTGAAGTTTATCTATATTTTCTATTACTTAAGAAGTTATGTTTTATGTAGTATATCTTTTTTTGTTACACAGATACAAAAATAACAAATCAATTTACTTTGGGCCATTTCGTAAGAAATGATTTTTTTAACTGCTTTGAAATTATTCTAACACATTATCGTGTTTTGTGATGAAAGTTAAAAATTATGAATTATTATATTCTACATAGGACAGAAATCGTCTGGAAACTTACGAGGAGATATCAAGTGAACAAAATGATATCGATATCTTTGCCAATCTAACTTTTCGCTTTACTTGTGAGGATATGCCATCCGGTTTTTATGCCGATATAGATTACAATTGCAGGATATTTCACGTTTGCGAAAATTCCGGTGATGGATTCCCAGTGATCTGCGCTAACGATACGGTGTTTGATCAGAAACAACGGATATGCACGGATGAGGAAAATATCGATTGTCATCACGCTCACGAATGGTATATACGTACATTTTATGACATTCAAATTAATCAAATCATAAACATTTATTTTATGTAATTAATAATTACTTACTAAAGATATAATTATACTTACTAAAGGTATTACTTGAATGAATTAAGTTATTCTGCGGAAATCGAACCGAGAACGATCACAGAAAAAATCTCGGAGGAAGAAGAATTGAAACTGATTCAAGAAGATGCAGTGCTTTCCGTTTTGCCACTCGTGGTTGACTAAAAATATTTTTATCTTACTTCATGTTATGTATTTATGTTTTACGCATTTTATTCTATTAAATCAAATTATATAAAGTTAAATAAGTTTAGCTGGAATTAATTTATTTCACTTTTTTCTTTTTTAGCGCTTACTGCTTATTTTTTCTTAGAATTAGAAAAAATTAATCTTATATTGATGGGCTTTGTCACTTATGACACAGTGCTATACTAAACGTGTATCCAACTTTTGAATCTAACTATTTTTACCGATTTATTTTTATCTTTTTTATTTAGAGTTTCTACTAATAATTTATAGTTTCGCCTCTGTGTGCATCGCGAGTAATATCAGAGAAAATAATATTTATAGAATTCTAAAGTAATATTATTCTGTTTTCATAGTAGTTCAACATTCTAATGATTGCGTGTCGTATCATGACCTTAACTTCTGTCTCTTTTATACTCTTGTTGCATCTCAGTACGTCTTTTGCAGCATGCAACACGTAAAACTGGTGAAATAAATAAAGAAAGAGGAAATGCACGAAAAGAGAGAGAGAGAAGACCTTCAGCGTGCAAAATAATCTCAGGTCTATTCCTGACTGTTGACTTCTCAAGGTTCTTGAAAGTTGCAGCACCAGTATTTTTGATATTAATATTGCAGCACACATCATAATTTTATTATATTTTATTTACTTTTTCATCAAATTTTAAAAATCAAATTAAAAATTAAATATATAGTTAAAAAAATTTAAATAATTTCAATTATATGATATTATTTATAATATAAATTTGTTAACAAGACTTTATAATTTTATTAAAAAATGCTTGTTCTATTATATTAAAAAATAAAATAACTTATTTAATTATTTAATTTGATATAAAATATAAAATTATTTAATTAATAATTGTAATTTGAAGGGACAACAGTAATTATACAAGACAGATACAATTCATTAATTTTTTAATCAGTATATTTAAGAATATATCAGTCTTAAAATCTATAACGCTAGCAATTTAATATTTTTTTCTGCGATACGACTGTATTACGTATTACATACTTTTTAATGCCGTACTTATGTCTTAATCTTTAAGAAAATATAAAAAAATATCACCCACCACCATAAAGCCCCATGACAATGAAATAAATATCACCTGCGAAATGGCGCGTGTTTCATGATTAAATTGCGAGGGATTGTTTCCATAATCATCTACGAAAATACCGTTTCTTCAAATTCTAAATATTATCTATTCTATGTAACTTTTGAAAATATACTCTACTTAAATTCCGTGTTACTAAAGTGTAAATAAAATATTATATATCGCGATAGACAATGTCACGGACACATCTAAAGAAACTATTATAATATCTAACTTTTTGACTAACTCCTTTTCGGGAAATAATAAAATTTTTTTATGCAAAGAATTGTTAGGCATAGAAATCGCATATTATCTCGAAATTACGCATTGTCTTGTAAATTCGACCACGACTAATATAAAAAAATTAAAGCTAAACCCAATATATAATCCGATTTGTTTCAGACTTCAAAAAAAGTCTGTAACAACAGAGACTTATATAAAGCTCTTAACGAGGCACATTTAGTATAGAGATTTTAATATAGTATACATAAAAAATAAGTAGACTTGAGCAGGCAAATCAAAATACTATTTCTCATGATGATAATATGATCTATGATGATGTGGCCAAGTAATCCCTGGACCCGTTTGATCATTATCGTATACATATTTGATCTTCGGATTTTCCGATCCGAATACACTTTGTCGAATCATACCCAATATAGCTGATGCGAGGGCCATGTTGCTAATCATACCAGCTATGGAAGCAGCTGCTTTCGCGTGAGCCAAAGCTACCTGGACGATGAATGTTACTATGAAACCGATTCCAGGCATCAAATGGCTCATCTTCGTTTTCAACGCTCTTCCAAGATGTATCACTGCACTCGTAATTTTCCTGGACATAATATCTTCTTGCAAACGTGGCAAGTAAATCCTCAATTCCGAGCGCATATTCTTGTCGGAAGATGATTCAGTATCTTTGATTCTATTTTCATTATTTGGATCCTCGTTCTTCTGTATAAAAACTTCCGGCTTCTTTGCTAATTTCTCTGAATATTCATTCAACAAAGACCTGAATTCGTTCTTTATACGATGATCCCTTTGGCGTTCTTTGTCACTTTCCATAGATTCTTTTTCAAGTTCATAGGTTATTTCTTCTTTCAACGGTATTATCTTTATTTCTTCCGTGCTGAGAGTCTTCATATGCTTCTCGGGATTATCTCTCTTGAGATGTTCTTCAGTAAAGGCTTTTAATCTGCTCGCAAACTTTTCGTTTAAACGAGTCCCAAAGAGTACGCTGAAAGCATTGTAAGCATTCTCTACATTAAGGAACTGAGCAACATCACCATCGGCAAAATCCGTTGCGTTAGCCTTAATTTTATCAAGAAACATGGTGATTATTTTATCATCATTTAAAGATCGCTTAATGTCGGTGTACTCGTCGCTCTCTTGCAGAAGCTGAAAATTCGCCTCTTGCATGTCATTCAGACTTCTCTCTTTTTTTTCTTTTTCTTTCTTCATCTTCTCATTGTCCGGCCGCTGATCCAGTACTTCTTCCATAATATCACTGATGATCGTCAGGATACTCGGCAAATTCTTATTGTCTTTGATCTTCGTAGCTCTACTTTCGCGAAATCTATTGAAGCTGATACCAATTTCACCATTTCCGTAACCCTTAAGTTTCAGGAAACCCAGATCTACCTGAAACTTGTCCTCCATTGCTGTCTTGTACCACTCCAGGAAAATATTTTCCGTTGATTCTTTTCTTGCCAATAGTTCTTTCTCGAAATCGCTCGTGGACATACCAAAGAAATTCTGTACTTCAGTTTCTATTGATCTTCCGAAACCAATAGGAAATGCGGGTAAGGATGGTAAGAAAGATGGCACGGTACTAGTGATTACTGGCCAGACGAAAATGCCCATGCATCTGATGAAGCTCAAGCTAAGTACGCATCGAACTACCCGCGACAGAAATCCACGATTTGCCGTATGTTCGTTCAAATCTTCCACCAGCTTCAAGATTTCGTACTGATCGGCGGTTAAAGAATTCCTGACTGTATAATTTAAAGTATCAACAAAGTATTCCTTTGAATTATCTTTGGATTTTTCTTCCAAATTTTCTTCAGATTTGGAAATATTAACTAGAAGCTGAAGAAAATCAGATTCCGTGATATTCGGAAACATGCTATCCATTGTTGTCTCCGAAGTCTGTTCAATTTCTCCTTCGGTCTCGTAATAAGAATTTAATAATTGATCAGTACTTCTTCGTCTCCTTTCATGTTTCTTAGATAATGCGCCTGAGGGAACGGATTCCGACAATGATTGCTGCTTAAATTCAGATAACTGGACTTCCTCCTTGGAAATATCTATGAGGATGTTTGACGGTTGTCCAAGATATCCTGGAACGGCTTCTTGCTCGTCTAGAAAATAAAAAAATAGAGATTAATGAACTGAATGTTGAGGATTGGTATGCGTTTAGCGGATAAGACTGATTCACCTACTGACGGAGTATTCGAAGCCTTCGATTCTCCACTTATCTGGTTTGCCTGTTCCACTGTGTGCGCAATTTTCGATTGAACTGTTTGTTCTTGAGACTTTAGCTCCTGTGGCTGCGGTTCCTGCAATTTCGACTCCGATTTTGGTTCCTGCAACTTTGACTCCTGCGACTTTGATTCTTGCAGCTTTGACTCCTGCAACTTCGAATCTTGTGGCACATCTGATAGGATTTGTAAATGCGGATAATTTATGCCGCCAAAGCTAGGCAATCCTGGAAACTGAGGAATGCCAGTTTGAATTCCGCTTGGTATCGTAGGAAATTGAGGGAGAGGAAGCTGTATGCTGGGAAGCTCGGTAAAAGGATTTCCTAATACAGGAAAACTTGGGATCTGCACAGGAAGTTGACTTATACCAGGGATTTGACCAGTTCCAGGAATTTGGCCAGCCCCAGGAATTTGACCAGCTCCAGGAATTTGGCCGGCTCCAGGAATTTGACCAGCTCCAGGAATTTGGCCGGCTCCAGGAATTTGACCGGGTCCAGGTATTTGACCGGCTCCAGGAATTTGGCCGGCTCCTGGAATTTGGCCGGCTCCAGGAATTTGACCGGCTCCAGGAATTTGGCCGGCTCCAGGAATTTGACCGGTTCCAGGAATTTGGCCGATACCAGGAATTTGGCCGATACCAGGAATTTGGCCGATACCAGGAATTTGACCGGCTCCAGGAATTTGCCCAATACCAGGAATTTGACCGATACCGGGAATTTGACCGATACCAGGAATTTGACCGATGCCAGGAATTTGACCGATGCCAGGAATTTGACCAATACCGGGAATTTGACCGATACCGGGAATTTGGAACGGACCAAACAACTCTTCAAAGCTCGGAATAGTTGGCGAAAATTGCTTCAAAGTTGGCCAAGTAACATGTTGTGTACAGGTCACAAAATTATTGCTTCTCACGCAGTCCAACAAGTTGCTTAAATATTCACGACGTATCGAATCCGGTATCGCTCTCTGCGTCAATCTGACAATGTTTATTTCCCGAGCAGTCAGAAGAGTGCCTATCACAGGATTATTGACGTCCAGGTAAGAGTTTTCTGAACGCGGCGACGAGTTCTTGCTTAGCAGATCCTTCAATGTATTCTCTATTTTATCCTCAATCGTATCTATAGCAATCTTTGATATATTTTCACTTTTTTTATTGGACGTCTGATTATCGGAATAAGCATTGCGTAATACGATTGATGATAAATCGAGTTTAGTTTTTGGCAGAATTTGGAAATTTCCAAAATTAGGAAAGTTTGGTAGTCTTGGGAAGAATTGAGCAATTGTTGGCCAAACAATATTCCTCGTACAGTCGAGGAACGTGCTCTCTCGAACACAAGTGATCATCCTCTCCACGAAAATTGGTCTTACTGATTCTGGTAACAGACTTTCTGCGGTTTGAATGATATTACCTTGCTGCTCCGTGAAATGAGATGTAATATGCGGCGATCTCGAAGTAATTATCGAGGGTAGGGCTTCCGGCGTAGAATGCTGCACGGTCTTAAGTATTCTTAAAATTACACCTTCTGGATGTTCCGAAAAAATCGGATAAAATCTAGTATCTGTAATGGTAACAGTAGCATCTCCGTGCTGACCGACTTTCACATCGGTCTCCGATAATGGCGATGGGTCAGTCAGATTCTGAGTTAATGTAGACTTACTATTTACTGCTTGAGGATGTCCTCCAAAGTTTGGAAAGCTGGGCAGTCTAGGAAAATATTCCGATAAACACGGCCACAATATGGTCCTTGAACATCCTAGAAAATTGTCCTTGCGTACACATTCTATCATTCGATCAATAAAAGTAGAACGTGCAGCATCGGGTAACAAACCCTCTGTTATCTTAAGAATATTCAATTGTTGATCATTAAGTAGATGATCAAACTGCTGTGTGCTGGTGATTTTGACACTTGGATCATCTCGCACGTTTGGCGAAGATAGTTGAATCGCCTTGAGAATGTTGAGTATTACCGATTCAGGATGTTCTGTAAATATCGGCACAAATCGGGTACCAGTGACACTAATGACAGGATCATTATTTTGCGAAAATTTTGTCCTGGAAATAATCTTCACGTTGGAATCCGTTTGTGATTTATTCCATTCCTGTTGATCTTCAATAGATAAAATGTTCTTGTCTTTTAATGGTATTTGATCTTCTTGTTTTGGTGGTTGTTGGGCAGATGATAAATCAGGAAATTCAGGAAAATTAGGAACGTAAAGACCAACCGTAGGCCAAATGATATATCTAGTGCAATTGAGAAAATCGTTGTTCGCCTGGAGGCAAGACATAACTTGAGCGACAAGAGGTGCCCGAGCTAGAGGTGGTACCATGCTCTCCGCTAATTGTAGTATATTAAGTTGTTTCTCAGTAATTGTTGTCAGAACAATGACATTTTCGCTGACGATTAAATGCGAATATTTCGGTGTCGCTCTCAGGGAATTACGTACCTTTATTAAAATCTCCGTGACCTTGTTTTCTAATTCGCTGGATGCTTTGGAAGACATTTCATTTTGATGCGATAATAATGTAGGAATCCGACTGGACGGTTTTTCTGCATCACCGGATTCTGATGGCTTTTCAGTGATTAGCGGTGTCGACGTAGTTGGTGGGTTCGGTACAGTTGATGGAATCGGTACAGTTGGTGATTGGTTTCCTCCTAAAATTGGTAGAATTGATGAAAAATTAGGAATCTGAAAATTTGGTAACAAATCGAAGAAATCAGGCAATTGCCACTCTGGTAACCACTGGGAAATATCCGGTAGATTGGGAATAAACTGCTTGACCGTCGGCCAGGTAGAATATTTAATACAGGTTACATAATTAAATTCCTGAATGCACTTAACAGTCTTCTGAACAAATTCTGGACGATAAGCGTTAGGAAGTAACTGTTCAGCCATGTGGATTGACAGTAATTGGTCCGGAGGAAGTACAGCGATGTAAGAATCCGTAGAATGAGTGATAGATAGAGGAGGAACCTTCGCGTGCTCCTTCAAGGTATTCTGAAGGATGTTTACGATCACCGCTTCCGGCTTAGGCTTCCGCATTCTCGTGGCATCGGCTTCAATGACTTCCGGAAGCTCGCCAGAAGCTCCCACAAGGCTGGGAAAGGGAACGATAGGATACTGCGGATACAATGGTATCGATGGATACCAATTCTGATAATCCGGGAAAGCCGGTAGCGTCGGATAATATTGTTTCACCATTGGCCAGGCGAAGTACTTGATGCAGCTGAAATACTCGAATCTGCGTACGCATGAGAACATCCTGTCGGAATATTCGCGACGCATCTCACCAGGTAAAAGTTTCTCAGCCATCTGCAAGATCTGGAGTTGGCCGATAGTGAGTAGTGCCCTCAAGGTTTCGTTCGTCGGATCGATATAAGACGGCACTAACTCGTAAGTGACTTTCGATTCCAAAGCACTCTTCAAAATGTTGAAAACAACGAATTCAGGCGTTAGCAACCACGGATGATAAATGCTGTTTTCTGATCTTGCAGATTTGGCCTTGTTACCCTGAAATAAGTCGTTTAAGTTTACCTCGATTGGTAAATTATTCAGATGCTGCTTAACTGATTCCGGGAGATTATCGAGCACGACGGGCCAGACGAAGATACGTATGCAGTTAAAAACATTGAGACCACGGATGCATTCCCCTATATTTTCCACGAACGACTGGCGCTGTTTCGTCTGTACCAGTTGCTCGGCGCATTTTATTATTTCTAATTGGTTTTCGGTCATTTCGGTCGCGTTTAAGCTATCCAAATACGTTTCGTTTGTCGGTGACTTCCGCGTTAGCGCAATGTTCTTCAAAGTATCTAATAACTGATTTTCCGTGAATTTTGGAATATCAGGGAGCACCTCAATTGCATGTTCTCTTAAATACAGCAAGAATGTTCTATTCTTGATTTGTTCCTGAAGAAACGCAGCTTGATTCTTCCATTTTTGAAAACGGTTCAATTCAGCTTCCGTCATTGAAGATGATTGATCAAGATTCTCACTCTGAGTCGATGTTGTTTTCACGTCGCTGCTACGTTGATTGCGAATCGCTTCGTCTTCTTCAGCCGCAACTGCTTCGACCTCAACCGATTTCTCTGAAAGAAGACTCTCTTCATCAAATTTTTCCGATTGTTTCGCATCGTTACCGACGGATTCAAGTGCATCGTTTCGTATAGATATTAATTTTTTTATTTGACCGTCTACAATCAATTCTTGCTCGCGACCAAGCAAATTACCTTCTTCAGCATTTAAATAAACAGTCGAACTCTTGTACTTGGACTTACCTGGAACACTGGCTCTATTTTCTCTGTTCAAATCCAAATCTTCATCACCGATTTCTTCATTACTCGGAGCCTCGTTGACGATATGTTTCTCTTGATTACTTTCGGTTTCTTCCGCAACATGTTCTTCTTGATTACTTTCGGTTTCTTCCGTTTGCGCAAGCTGCAAGCTACGAAGTTCATTTCGTACGTCCTCGTTCACTTCCTCAGTATTCTCTATTTGTGCCTCATCCAAATTATGTTCTGCTAAATTTTCAATCTGTCCCGTTTCTTCTTTATTTAAATCTATTTTATCCGTGTGTTTCAAATTGACATCTTCTAGATTCTCTCCAAGATTGGAGGAAGTGTTCTTCTCTTCTTCCGACCCCGCCCTATCTTCATCGGTGTTCACATCTACGTTTTTTACATCCGCTTGCAATTGCTCGACGTTGATTTCAATAGTATCTTCTTGCGAAGTCGAACTGTTCTCTGTATTGTCTGATACCTTCCGTTGATCTACTTCCTCAGTATCGTCGGACTCAACCTGAGCGTCAAATCGTCGAATACCTTCGTCCTCGACATTCTGTATGACGGTCTCTCCATTCTGTGATACGGGCTTACTAGGAAGGCTCACGTCATTCCTTCGTCTCTTTTTTGCCACGCTACCTTCGCCACTGGCAGCTTCGGCCTGGATCTTTTCAGGATCCTCGATGAGTATCTCTTCCTCTGAGTTATTTCTTCCTTCATCACTAACATCTTCATCTTCATTATGTTCTGCTATCGCCAAGCTTTTTCGTGCTTGGTCCACATTATCTTTATTTACGTCGTCAAAATCACTCACCTCTACCGATTCCGAAATCTTATCGTGCACTTGGTCCGCAATGACGCTGCCGTCATCATGAGGTACACTTCGCGCTCGTGTGTGATGAAGGACGCAAAGCAGAAAGAAGAAACAAAGAGTCGAGCGAGGCACGAGCCGATAGATGCTCGCGGTTGACCGTGGGCGTCGAGAGTTGAGTGCTCTCATGGTCGCGGTCGAGAGGCGAATGTCTCGGCCACTTCTGAGCCGGTCTATGGTCAGCCATGCCTCACGCATGGTGATACACATACCATCGTCTAAAGCACGCCGACTGTAGCCAGTTCACGGACGAAGAAGCGAACCTGTAGATGAATAACAGCCTGGCATTTCCATTTTTGCGGTGCCCCTCTACGCGCCTACTTCGGGGTTGCGAGGTAACAAGCTTCGCGCTGCCAACAAGTTCGCCGTAGCTGACCGGTTGCGTTTCCTGCGCGGAAATGGCAATGGCATCAGGTGCATCGATCGCTCGATTTATCTCAACATGTAATTTTCTTAACGTAATTAATGGTACAAATTAGCCGTACCGTTTGAACGTTTACGATATGAATTACTTGTCGCGGAGTTGAGGAAGTTTATTTACCTCAAATCGTTTGACAATTATAGTCTACAAGCACGCTTAGCACAAGGAGCAATATACTAGAAGAAGAAAACGAGAAAACCATAAACATAGTTAAGTGCACGGCATATACATTTTTGCAGCGTGAAGATTGACTTGTATACACGCCATCAGGCATACTAAGAAATAGAATTTAAAATAAAAGTATAAATTTTTTACATTTCCTATAAATATCTTAGCCTCATCTTCTTTTAAAAATTTATGTAATGCATAAACTATCATTACTTATAATTGTTTATTACTAACAGAAAATAATTATTGAAAATAATAAACATTTATTAATAAAGCTAAAATTATTTAGAAAAAGAAACATGTCTATATATATTTGTGTATGTATGTGTATATATATGTACACGCAGTTCAAATATATTTCAATTACTGTCGATAATAAAAGATCACAGATGTTTCTTGAAAAGATTAAAACTCATGACTAATCAGAATGTAAAAATAAAGCAGCAGCAAACAATAATCCTTAAATGAAAATTGAAAGAAGAAAAGGAATAGTAATCCGTAAATTTAAATGCAATATAGATCAGGTTTTGCGTTTGTATTTAATATAGTCTTGCTCGCGCGAGTCTAAAGGGTTGAATTTTTAGTCCTTGAAGGAATCGAGACTCGTAGGAAGAAGAGGCATCCTAAGGTGGGGAACGGAGAGTAATGCATTTTTACAGCGAATTTTATTTTCCAAGATGGTCGGCACGATGCTCCCTACTTCTTCCCTCTCTTCGCTCCTTCCGTACTGGATTCACTGAGCAAAGACGATGCAATAAACCTGTATTGCCTTTCTTTACCGTCTGCCTAGCTTACGGTGCGTCCACAACGTCTAATGCGATTTACTACTTCAGCATTACATTTCATGTAATGTTATTCTCTCTAATAATTTTGTCATCGAATATCTTGATTGTCTTAACGCTTGTGTTTTTAATTCCTGAAATATTAATACATCTTTCCTATGCTGCAAGAAAAAGACATAAAAACAATTTCATTGCAATTCTTTTATAATAATTTTGGACATTGTTTATATATTTTATATATTTACCTTATTTTAAAAAATTATGCTGAATTAACTTAACTAACTGTGAGTAAAGCTGTAGATAGAGCTGTAGGTAAAAAAATGCACTGCAATGTGTCTTTATAATAATTTTAGATACTTTTCATACTTTATTTAACAAGTTACCTTATTCAAAAATTAATATTACTGATTATAGATAAAGCGCAATATTATCTTTGTCGGCTTTGCAACAAGCGTATCGAGGTAAACCACGTCGATCATCAACCATGACTTTTCTTTGAGCTACTTACTGAAGCCAGACGGTTAATGAATTTTATGACGTATAATACTTATTCCTTGTAATGTTTCGTTATGAGGTCAGTCAGCAGTTGTTAACTTAGTCAGGAAGCACAGTGCATCATTCGTTAAGGACGGCTGTTTGCAGTAACGTTGCAGTGTAGAAGTGTCTACGGATGTTATGCATTTAGCAGATTGACGCGATGGTATTTAGGAGAATAAGCAGTACATGAAAACTAGTTTGAAAAAATTTATCTGCATATTATTCACAAATGGATTTCAAACAGTAAAATGTTTCTTGAATGAAAGATTATAAGTGTGTGCGCGTGTGTACGTGTTGCAAAGAATTTCATTGGAAAATTGTGAAGCAATGCGTTCCAACTACTCTTAGTTCAGCCACTCCTTTTCAAGGTGATGGTCATGCGTGAACGGTCGTTGCACGATGACCATGACAGTGACATTACATGATGTAAAAAGTGAAAGATGATGGTATATACATACGTATCATTTCTAAATTCTTTTCTATTACATTAAAATATAGCTTTATCCAAATGAAGAACCCCAAAATGAAATTTAATAAATTTTATATTAAAAAGAATGTTATATAAGTCATTAATATTGTAGCAAAATATACTTTCGAGCAATTGTCAGTTACAAAGTTTCTTATCGCTGTGTAATTTCACCGTTTATCAAAAGAAATACGGAATGTTAAAGAAAACTTTCTAACATTAGAATGCGGATTATCGTTCTACGGATTCTCCGAGGTGTTTGCAAAATCGACACCAAGGAGGAATTTGAAAGAGGTGCGCAGAAAGTCGGCGCGCACCGAGCGCAATTCTCTTTCGAGTTCGAACCGCTCGGTTAGTTGGAGGGAATCATACGGTTGCTCGTGCGAGTCCGAATAACACGTATTTCGAGTAGTCCGACACAGAAGGTTCAGGAGAAGACAGAGGGAAAAAGGTCAGTCGAAAGAAAAAAGATCTTCAGTGTCGATGAGTCCGGGTGGTGGTAAACCGGTCTGAGAATGAAGGCGATTGGCCAGATCATGGCGTACATGCTATTGGCAACTGCATTTACAAAAAATGTGTTTGCAACAAGTGCCGCGAACATCAAATTTTCGAGGGACAGCAACAAAGTCGCACGGTATAATACGACGAAACTGGAAATGATCTCGGATGCTGTAGCGCTGCAAAATCCTGACACCGATGATCTTTGGAGTATCCTAGTTCACGTATTTGAAAGAAAACCAGTTCAAGGTGAGACATATTTTCACATTTATTAATAAAAGGAAAATGTGAAAAAGTCAGAAAAATATTTTGCGATTTGAGAATCATAAATGTGATTTAAATGTTAATAATATTTTTTGGAATTATTATAAAGTATAATTATTTAAAATAATTCGTATCTATAAAAATTATGGCTGTATTCATTTATAATAACTTTAATTATATTAAGGTTATATATAATGATTAAAAGTAACATTTATCTATAAAAAATATGGATATATATCTATTTATAATAATCTTAAAATTACATTAAAACTAAATCAATACCGATGAGAATACATGCCGTACATTAAACTGTTATGCAGATATTGAGTCCCGCACTTTTGGAAACAAAAGAATTCAGTTTATGCTGATGCCGATGATGTATAAAATGGGAGTGATGATGACAATATTGATGGTAATAGCAGCAATCTCAGCGAAAGGACTACTCGTAGGTAAGCACCATTTTTTTCTTACACACAGTAAAAAGTGTCGCCCGCAATGTATAACGGTCTCACGACTGCCTTGTGGATAGCGTAACCTGCATACATGATTAGATGATATTGCTGACCTATTTACTGCATATGAATTTAGTATTTAAATCAATGTTAGATTTGCACATGAGATTTTATAGTTAGCCTAGTATTTCTTATAATTACTTATTTGATTTAAAAAATTCTCGTTATTTGTTTCTCGATCAATATCGATCAATTATTGAATTTTATTATTCATCATCGCGAATAATATAAAATCAAAAACAATTTTAATCGTAAACTTTTTAAGTTTGTGTTTCTTGACTAGTTTTATACTTATGTATCCATCAGTGAAACTTAATATATTAAGTTTAATATGATTCTCCAATTAGTAAACGGAAGTCTTACTCTATTTTTCACTACTTTCAGGCGTCATACTGCTAGTGTTTAAACTCAGCACCTTTCTAGCGAAACTTCATTCAGGCTGGCACGCACCATGGCCATCGCCACAACCATGGCCATCACCGCAACCAGTTCACCTGCATGTTCACAGCGTTTTGCCATTTCACCCACACATTCACCCACAAATGTACCAAAGTTGGGATTCAAGTGGCCCCGCATATGAGGACCAGTATTACTATAAAGGATAAAATCATACACTGAAAGGACAATTTTACTGTATCCTAAAGTATATAAAGATTTAGCTAAATAGAGAGCTGAAAACAATTTTGTTAAATTATTTAAATAATTATGTAGAATGCTTAACTGATTTCTAGAATATTACAAATTTTATAATATCGCTTAGCACGCTTCAGATTCCTGTATAATTATTTTAATGATTCGATAAAATTATTTTCAGATCTGTATTTATTTTAAAAAGTTTGAAATATTTTTCAGTCAAAATCGTTCTTTTCGTGTATAAATTATGTATGTTCCAGTCAAGAGATTTATACTGGAAAGTCATTTACGAAATAATTATATCAAAACACGTAATAGTCATCGATAGAAGCTACATTATTTATGTATAATTTCTGAGATAATCTTGGTTTTCTTGTATCCAATAATTTATTCAGTGATATTATGAATACCTGATTTTTCTGACTATAGATATTAATAGTTACGATGGCACACTGAAAAAAATGTTTATCATGAATAATCATTATTTTATTGATATATGTGAGTTATAAAAACTTTCTTATTTTAAATTAAAATAACTTTCTTATTGTTTATTTTAAAAACTTTCTTATTTTAAATTAAAAAGTAAGAAAGTTTTTATAATTCACATATATAATTTACAATAAAATAATAGTTATTTATATTAAACATTTTTCTCGGAACGTACTTCTCGCCATCCATACACACACACGCACGCACGCACGCACGCATATAATTTGTAAGAAAAAAAAAATTAATTTAACAAGTACTCTCTAGATTTTTTACACTGTAACATACACAAGGTGACCGATTTCTTAATTCATTTCATTATAAATTAAGCATATACAGATATACCAAAGGAATTTTCCTAAATATAACAATAAGTTTGTAGAATATAAAGTCGTAGAATATAAAGAAACAAGAAATTTCTTTTTTTTTTAAAGGAAATATGA